TGATGCCGTGGCTTCGAATCGGAGTTTATCGATTTCTAAATTAAATGCATCTTTAATAGTGGCGTATCAAACAGTTGACGGATGGCGGAGCCGCGTATTGCCGTGCTGGACGGCGATTTGCGTTTGTGATGTAATGCGACACTAAAATATCTCGCGATGAAAGGTGAATCGCATTATACGTGGTCCTGTGTTGCGACTCATCCTCCCGCAGTGGCTGCCCACGCTGTTCACGTTATCTCGCTGCGTAAGTCTTCGTCGCCACGGGGCCGATGCCAGCACGCTGCACCAGGCTTTAATTTTAGGCCGAGTCTATCTGGGGAAAGCACAACGTTTTTATAAAACAAAATCTGAGCAGATTAACTGCCGCGCAAGGTGCCGCCTGGTCACTTAGAGGCATGTAACAAAAAGGTGCCTTTTTTTTTCCTCCCCGGGGAAATTATCAAGAGAAGATTACGTTATCAAACTGAGAGTGGTCATCATTCCTGAGCAAAATCTGTTAAAAGTCCAATCCTTCTGTGGTTCCTTTGCACGTTTAAAAAAAACACTTCAAAGCGGAAGCGGCCACGCTGCTGCTGCTGCTGGTGGTGGCGGCGGTCGAGGCAGCTCAGCCTCTGGTTGCATGCAGCTCCGCTGCCCTGCCCTCGTGCCCTCGCTCTTGCTCCTTTAACAGTCCGGTGCAAAGGTTATCCTAGCAGGATGATGTGTGTGTCTCTGCCTCGAGAGCCGAGCCCTTCGGCGACGCGAGCCTCCGTGCGTCCGCCTTCGTGTGCGGGCGCCGCGCCGAGCGTTGCCTGCCCGTCCGCTGGGTGCCCGTGCGGTTGGAGACTGCGTGACGGATTGTCGGGGTGGGTTTAGATGTTTGTGGGTGAATGCTATGAGGTGTGTAATGATTCCCCGCCGTCTCTTCCTCTACTCGCCACCCTTCCTGTAGAGATGTGGATGATTTTAGATAATTGTGGGGTTGTGATTTAGTTTGAGAACTGTCTCCTTTTTTATTTAAAGCTTTCGTGACTGCAGGGATTCATATTCTTGGTTCTTTCGGTAAAGTCACGTAGAAGGGAAACAATAAAATGATAAAAATATAAAACAATAACATTCTCACGACGTTTCGACTGCAACACAAGCAATCATCATCAGGTGTGAAAACCACAACAAGAAAATTTGAAAAAAGTGGCGGTTATTTTTAACGTTAGCACCACGGAGAGCGATTTGACAGTTTGTTCATATGGAAGAGTCCATATATGTTCGGAAAAGAGGAGGGGGGAGATGAAAAATAATGGATGCGGTCTGAGAGCCACCTTAAGCGTCATCAATCAATTAAGACCCGAAATGGTTTATCAAATCCTTCCAATTATTTCTAAGCCAGAATCCATCATCTCGGTTGAAATTGTCTCTGTGTTTGTATATGTGGATAGCCTCATGAACGAATCTCTCATGGTAGCCAGATGGCGTGAACACAAAGCAGACCTGAAACACAGTAGGACCAACACCTCGGCCGTGGAAGATCACTGTTATAATTCAGTAGGCTCACATGACATTGACTTCTCCAAGACAGAGGTTCTTTGCAAACCATCTGGCTACCATGAGAGATTCGTTCATGAGGCCATCCACATATACAAACACAGAGACAATTTAAACTGAGAAGATGGATTCTGGCTTAGCAATCATTGGAAGGATTTGATAAACCATTTCGGGTCTTAATTGATTGATCACGCTTAAGGTGGCTTTCAGAACATAGATGGATTCTTCCATTCTTCCATCTCTCTCCGTGGTGCTAACGTTAAAAATATCCGCCACTTTTTTCAAATTTTCTTGTTGTGGTTTTCACACCTGATGATGATTGCTTGTGTTGCAGTCGAAACGTTGTGAGAATTTTATTTTTTTATATTTTTATTATTTTATTGTTTCCCTTCTACGTGACTTTACCGAAAGAACCAAGAATATAACTGTCTCCTTGTTCCGACTCGTTTGCATCGTTTTGCTTGCTGCATTTGCTTAATGCAACATTAGCATAGCGTGTACTTGTGATGGATGTAAATTTAAAATTACCTTTTTTTAAGATATGCATTTAGATTAATTAATCATTTAATGAGAGCATAACAATCGATTCTAATCGATCAATTGCTGCGTCATTCCAGGCCGAGTAGGCTTCATCGCCGAGCAATTAGAGTTCTGGGATATGCCACTGGTAGCAGGGCAGGGAAGAGTTGAGGGAAACAACAGGGAGGAGTGTAGAGTTGGAGGTGGATGTGAGGACTTTGGATGTGCCGAGGGGAGAGGCACAGAATAGAAGCAGATGGAGGAATAAAATCGGAGCAGTTGATCCCGAGGAATATGGAACTCTTTGGCTTCAGAGAGGAAAAAGATCACAGGCCCAGTGAATATAATTGATGAAGACTGCTTGGTGGTAGCATAATAATTAATTCTTGATTGTTCATTTTCAGTAAGTAACGAAGATAGTAATGATACTTTTTTATAAATTAAAGTTTAACGTGAAATTCTACGAGTAAGTGACATGACCCATTCAATACGTAGTGATTTAGATTGTATATATTCTTTATAATCGTAATTTTCTTTGTAACCAGGTTAGAGCCCATGAATACGAAGTCTCTTTATAAAATGAGACCTGAGTTCCAAACAAGTTATTAATGCCGTACACATTGTGTGTGTGTGTGTATATATGTGTACAATATGTATACATTCCTTACCAGAATTTGATGTAATGGGGAATGAAAATATTCCAAACGTCGCAGTGTTCATTATATTGTGTTATTTAATAAGCTGACTCTAACCTTGTATTAAAATTGTATTTTAATCAAAATGCAAGCTGTACGTTGTCAAGAATTATTAAACACTTAACTCTGCCCTTCAAAATCTTATACGCATCGCCGCATTACCGAAATTGACATTATGGACCCATAAACCATTCGTAAAATTAAATACCTTCATATAGCTCATACAGTGAGGGAAAAAGGTATTTGATCCCCTGCTGATTTTGTACGTTTGCCCACTGACAAATAAATGATCAGTCTATAATTTTAATGGTAGGTTTATTTGAACAGTGAGAGACAGAATAACAACAAGAAAATCCAGAAAAACGCATGTCAAAAATGTGATAAATTGATTTGCATTTTAATGAGGGAAATAAGTATTTGACCCCTCTGCAAAACATGACTTAGTACTTGGTGGCAAAACCCTTGTTGGCAATCACAGAGGTCAGACATTTCTTGTAGTTGGCCACCAGGTTTGCACACATCTCAGGAGGGATTTTGTCCCACTCCTCTTTGCAGATCTACTCCAAGTCATTAAGGTTTCGAGGCTGACGTTTGGCAACTCGAACCTTCAGCTCCGTCCACATATTTTCTATGGGATTAAGGTCGGAATACCCATCCACGACCCATTTTCAATGCCCTGGCTGAGGGAAGGAGGTTCTCACCCAAGATTTGACGGTACATGGCCCCGTCCATCGTCCCTTTGATGCGGTGAAGTTGTCCTGTCCCCTTAGCAGAAAAACACCCCCAAAGCATGTTTCCACCTCCATGTTTGACGGTGGGGATGGTGTTCTTGGGGTCATAGGCAGCATTCCTCCTCCAAACACTGCGAGTTGAGTTGATGCCAAAGAGCTCCATTTTGGTCTCATCTGACCACAACACTTTCACCCAGTTGTCCTCTGAATCATTCAGATGTTCATTGGCAAACTTCAGACGGGCATGTATATGTGCTTTCTAGAGCAGGGGGACCTTGCAGGCGCTGCAGGATTTCAGTCCTTCACGGCGTAGTGTGTTACCAATTGTTTTCTTGGTGACTATGGTCCCAGCTGCCTTGAGATCATTGACAAGATCCTCCAGTGTAGTTCTGGGCTGATTCCTTACCGTTCTCATGATCATTGTGACTCCACGAGATGAGATCTTGCATGGAGCCCCAGGCTGAGTGAGATTGACAGTTCTTTTGTGTTTTTTCCATTTGCGAATAATCGCACCAACTGTTGTCACCTTCTCACCAAGCTGCTTGGCAATGGTCTTGTAGCCCATTCCAGCCTTGTGTAGGTCTACAATCTTGTCCCTGACATCCTTGGAGAGCTCTTTGGCTTTGGCCATGGTGGAGAGTTTGGAATCTGATTGATTGATTGTTTCTGTGGACAGGTGTCTCTCTTTAAGGGTGTGCTCCTAATCTCAGCTCGTTACCTGTATAAAAGACACCTGGGAGCCAGAAATCTTTCTGATTGAGAGGGGGTCAAATACTTATTTCCCTCATTAGAATGCAAATCAATTTATAACATTTTTGACATGCGTTTTTCTGGATTTTCTTGTTATTCTGTCTCTCACTTCAAATAAACCTACCATTAAAATTATAGACTGATCATTTCTTTGTCAGTGGGCAAACGTACAAAATCAGCAGGGGATCAAATACTTTTTTCCCTCACTGTACATTTAAAGCAACAAAATAATGGCATTACGGGATGTCCAACCGTCCAACCACAGCAACCAAAGTGTGTGTGTATCCTGGAGTCACATTTACACGTATGTAAAGGTGTCATAGCAAGGATATATATATCCTTATTTCTCAGAGATTAACTTTGGCGAAGTAAGTACCACCGCACGACTGACTATGGTAAAGGTTGAACGGGGTCATGTAATTTGGTAATCCGATTATTTTGTGCATGTTTCCGTATGAGCTATGTTGTGGCCAGGAGTAGGCAGAAACCAAAAAATGATCTATTATACTGTAGTACGCTCCCGTGTTTATGCCTCCCCCCCCACCGTCTTTACGATACCCGCACTGATCGACGTGGTGAAGTATTGTCAAATAACCCCCTTGGCCCATGTGGCTTTGTGATGCCCTCAACCAGCAGCGGACTGACAACAGGGGGTGGTGCATTGTGTAGACATCTAAACCCCCTGTTGCTGTTGTGTAGATATATAAACCTCTTGTCATTGCTGCTGTTGTGTAGACCTCTAAACCCACTTGTTGTCGCTCACTTTTGTTCTCTGCGTTCTTGTCGCTGCAGAGCGAGCAGCGCCGGAACCGGCTGGGGCCGCGAGTTCCGTCGACGGATCACCGAGTGCGGGGCCGGACGCGATGAGCGAGCTGCTCTCCACGCTGTCCACGGAGGTGAAGAGGTCAGACGAGGTGGCGTCCGTGGCGGCCATCAGCATGGTGGAGATCCCGCTGGACAGCACGCCGATGCCCAGCCCGGTCAACGGCGGGAAGCCCTTCCCGCCCACCTCCCATGACGCTCCTGCGACGGCGGCCGTGGCTTCCCCGTTGGCCCACGGTGCAGAGGCCGACAGCAGCAGGTAATCATTGCCGTCATCGTCGCCGTAATCATCGTCATCTTCGTCATCATCATCGTCATCATATGGTGGGTGATGATTGTGTGGGCTTGTTTGGAGAGACACACAAATGCACGTGCGCCACACACACACACAGTTAACATAAACATACAAAAAGACAAAGATCCCATGTATAGCCTTTACAGACTTGTGGGGCAAGTGCTTTTAGTGAGCACCTATGAAAGCCGGCATGGTACACGACGGTGTGGGTGGCCGACTTCACGCCCGGCCGATGTTTACACACCCGACCAGGTACTCATATGAGGCTGAATTGGTCTAGGGGAGGTGCAGGACCAGTTAAAATAATCATCACCGATGTTGGTCATGAGCACGGATCGAACTCATGTTACTGAGTTCGTAGCGTAGCTACACTACCGCTCCCCACAGACAAGCGTACACCAAGACACGCGAATAACGTGCACATACACGCACACATAGAATGCCACACACGCATGCACAGACACGCGCACACAGACACACAAGACAAAGATCCACTGCATAGCCTCAACAAACTGTTGAGGCAAGTGCTGTGATCGAGCATCTCTGATGGGCCGCAAGTAACACGAAACGTGCACACGCACGAGTGGAAAGGACACGCAGAGACGCACTCACAGATGCCGATACATTGTGCTCACACCCGACATATAAATGCGTACACACACACACACAGAGAAACACACAGACCCACTCGCACACACGCTCGGACTTCCTGGCTGAGTAGCGCACTATGGGACTACGTGCACGGTGGTGGGGGGGTGACGGTCGTGGGAGGTTTACTTGGAGCTCAGGTGCTTCAGGAAGTAGCTGCGGCACCTTGAGGGCCTGCACGCGGATGTGCTCGCTCCGAGACGCCAGCAACTTGAACGCCTCCGTGCTCGCGGGCAAAATGTACACGGAGCGCAAATGCTGTCAGCCACGATCTATCTGCTGCTGGATAGAAGCCTACCCAAAGCTGTCATCTGCTCGGGGTCCTTCTAGATCTAGGCTGAACACTAATTTCTTTAATATTGCTTTTTGTGTTTAGTTCGTTTTCCTTTCCCCCTGCACTTCCGATCAGCACGGTTGGCTACGTACGGTGCGAAAGAAGTGCAACATACGTACATACGTCCTCCGATCAGCCGTCTAGCGCCAGGCACGCCAGTGGATGTCATCACTCCATCTCCTCACCGGACGCGCTGTCGTCGGCGCGTTACCTCCCTTGGCTGCTGCTGCTGCTGCTTCGTCATCATTCTTCACCATCATTATTCACATTGCAGGCCAGACTGTCGCCTTCTCTCGTGAGGTCCTTATCGGTCATCGTAATCATTATTAATGCTGTCACAATCAGTCGTTGTCATCATTGCCTTTATCATGCAGCAGTCATCGTCCTGTGCACTGTGGCTGCTGTCATGCATCATTGTTATTTTTCTGACAGCTTCCCTTAAACCTCTGCCATTGTAAGTGCCATCGTCTAAGTCGCAAGAACGGAGCAAGGAATTGGTGGTGCAGTAGTTCTTTATAATGCCCTAACAAGCCGGTGATCTGAGTTAGTTTTTTGGCCGCAACGCACTTCATTGATGAGTGATATTTGAACTGGATCTGGGCACACCCCTTCATCAACCTGGACAGACAAGTGTGGTGAGGTATGATCAAACGAGCGACATCGCAAGGGTAGGCAAGCCAACATTGGGTTGACCAAATGGCTCTCGGCTGTTATTGAACGGCATGGCTCATTTTATTCTTCATCGGTTTTTATGGGGATAAGTTTCCCACTCTGTGCCGATTTCACGAGTTATATTTCTGAGTGGCATCGAGGGCGCACAGCTCTCGCAGCTGGAAGGTTCCCTCCTTCGTTCCCAGCGTTGAGTGTTCCCTGAAAATCGTCTCTTACGAACCGGTGCGAATTACCCGCTTCGCTCGTTCGCATTGCACGGTACCTCTCCGTCATGCCTTCCTGCGCGGATTTAGAGGCCCGAAGAGCCCCTAAAACAACAACAGCAGCAGCAGCAGCAGAAGCGAGCAACCATTCCAGCGCTGCAGCCGCTCTGTGAGCGTCGCGCAGTCAAAGCTCAACGCCGCGGCGCGGGAACACACGGCCGAGCGTGCCAACGCGGCGCAGCGAGAAGCACCAAATCTGCAGGTGTGAATTTAATGGAATGTACTCGGAGGTTCAACGCAACTTTTGGCGCATTAGCCACGTGTGCGCCGGCGCCGCAGGATGCTGTCGGGCTTCGGGCAGCAGCAGCTGGAGCAGCGGCGGCGGTAGCGGCGGCGGCGTCTCCGCTGGTTGCGCGCGCCGCTCATTGTTGCCAGTGACCGAGGCCTCCCCTTCTCTTGACACCATGGCGTTATATTGATTCATGGCTCGGTAATGCTGTAAAGGTGCATTGCTGTCACTTCGGCTGCGGCGGGTCATATTATTGTACGGCTTGGAAATGCTCCAAGTGTATGTGTTAACAACGTTAAAATCAAGCCGTGACATTAGCCAACGTTCACAGTTCAGGTTTGATTTTCATTTTGTTTTTGAACGGAGTGCCGCGGCTTGCGTCTGCACGCCTGCGTGTACGCATGCATATGTGTATACATGCGTGTGGTTTTCTTCTTCCTGGTTCTTTTCTGTTCGCTCCTGGCGAGGCCGAGGGTTTAAAATCTTCGGGGCTTGCGGAGCTCTGCTTTCTGTGGAATGCCCAGTCACAGGCCATCTGGGGACAGGGGGGCCCTTAACAGTGGCCAGAGACACCACCCACAATCAACCACACTTCCTTTCATCACATCGTCATGTTACCATGATTGGGCCCACTGCTTCATTAAGACCTGCCAAAGCTGTTGCCATCTCTCACGGTCATACGATGCGACAGTGCATCCAGCTTCTGCACCTGAGCTGATCTCATTGCTCCTTCTCCTCTGTGGATGTTGTCATATCGATTGCCATCCTTCGCCCCTTCTAGTGATGTGTCCTGCCCAAGCCCACTTACTTTTCTGAATAGTCAGCATGACCTGCTTTGATATAACACAATTGCATTTCTCCTATGGTTACTTACAATTTGGGATGAGCATTATATTATTGCAGTGCATTTTTAACTCGTAAATATTTTTTTCACATAGCCAACTACTGCATTAATTAATAAAGTAATAATGCATCCGTACAATTATAGTGCACTATCTTCAGACGTTTTTCCTGTGCGTTGATTGTCTTTGTTATTGAAGTGTATCGTTACAATTACAGTAAAAAAATGAATCTGTTAATATCAAGTTTAACGTACATTCGTAATACGTAGATGTTGAGCAAACGATTGTTTTTGAAACTTGCAGTATTTAGATTGACATTGTAGTGACACCTTCACCTTTTTAATAACGATTACTTCATTAATAATAAAGAAGTAAGCTGCAAAATGAAATGCGCCCGCCAAGTTTCGGCGGCTGCTGCTGCTGCTGCTACTGCCGGCTAAAGGAGCACGGCGCGCTCTGTACGTCTCGCGGTTATTAATAGCGCCGCTCACTTCCAATGAGAAGGCAGATTTCTCGCAGGACGGCGTTTTCGCAAAGATCTAATTTGTCTTTTTTTCCCTCATCGCCGCACCCTGGGGGCCTGCACTCTTGGAGGGTCTGCGGTCAGGGAGGGGTGGGATGAACAGAAGCAGTGGATAGGGAGGGGGGGGACCCTTGGCGCCCACCAAGCTAAACATTACGGAGGGGCGCAAATGATTTCTTTAAACAAAATTGGTCGCTTATTAATTACTTTTTTTGACCATCGTATGTGGCTTATTACACTCTTAAGCGGTAAGAGGAGGGGCCAGCATTCAACAGCGGATTTACCCTAGCCGATGATGAAAAATATAAATGTATAGATAGCAATTATTTATTTACAATTTTACATTGGTTAAAACAAATCTCGAAAATGGTCTATGGCATACAATGGCCGTCTTGAAATCTTGGCAGAGTAACCGCTGCCCCTTTTGCCCCCCCCCCCCCCCCCCCCCCCCCCCCCCCGCCTTGTGTGTGTATCTCTGCTGGGAACGTGATTGGTAAAACGTGGCTGACGGGACTGCGTGGGCTTTAGGAGGTTTGAGACGGTGCCGCGTGACCCAACCGATGTCTCCCCCCCCCCCACCCAGCAGCCTCCGCTGGGCAAACGCGCGCGTGGCACGGCAAGCGGCGGCGATGTCAACATCAAGGCCGCTTGCCGCTAATAAAACGTGGCAGCGTCGAGATGAGTCCTGGGCCTGCCGCACCGGAGAGCAACGGGCGACGCTCAAATTACCAGGCTTTTGCATAAAACTATTTCATGGTCTCGGCATCGCCGCCGTTGCCACAAATGGGTTCCCATCGGCCGCCAGCTTAAATGAGTTGTTTTGTGCTGTGCAGAAGGAGTTATTCTCCAGAGCCCTGCGGAATGAGATTGCCTGTCACGCCGCTTTAAAATCTGCCGAGAGCGAGACAGGGGCCCCGTTTTTAACCCTCGCCGCTTGAGCGTGCCGGGAGAGGTAGTGGGCTGGAACGCTTTGCGCAGCGTTGCAGCTCACGACATTCATTCCAAGTCCGCCTCCCCCGGTCCTTTCTTTGGTTACTGATCATTTTCCGCTAATTATTATTGCATTCGTAATTTTGTCGCGTAGCGTCAAGGCTTACCAAGGCGGTGATTGTCATGCAAAATCGCGCAAATAATTATCCGTATTTACGATGTGGTAATCGGCTTTTTTTCTTGCGTTCGTGCAAATTTGTCGCGGGCGGTGTGACCACAGCCGACGTCAATCTCGCGATAAACCTCCATTATTGTTCTAATGAAACAAACGGCCGCCTTAATAATCCAATTAATACCTTCCGCACGCGAATTATTTATTTAATATTCGTTATATTTTTTAAAGAAAGTATTTTCGGCGGCGTGCCTCATTTGCATATTTATTGGTGCAAATTGAACCCCGCCGCGGCTGTTGCTGGTTTCTGCACCGCGAAATTATGCAGACTTCAACAATTACAAGCCAACG